CTAAGGTTTATGCCACATTACCTGATTAACAACTTCTTTTATGAACATAAAGGTGCCACCCGTCCACTCCAGTTTTCATGTTACGAAAATGTTTGGATTAAAATTATTTACAAAGTTTAATTTTTTGTTTTTCTTTTACATTATATTATATTTAGGCACTTAAAGACTGCAAATAAATAATTCATAATATCTAAAAGATGTACGTGCTACAACATAAACCTTAACACTTCATTTTCTAAAACCCATTTTATTCACTTAGTCATTGTTTACTTAATGATGCTGTTAACAGCATTAAATGGTAGGATGATTAGTGAATAATGAATTGAAAAGTAAGTGCAAGGAAATGGTTACAGCCAAATTTGAAGCATTATCCTGGAGAGGCTGAGGAAAACAATGAAGATCCTCAGTCAGGATAGTCAATGTTCTGGTTGAGATCTGATATGAGCATCTCCAGAACAGAAGACAGAAGCATTACTGCTTCAGCCAACTTGCATGGTCTCTACAATATAATAGCATCTATTTTAAACACACATTTTATCCTTACTTACTTACTCATGGAGCTGAGCCCTTCTGGAGGAGCCGCCAATTCAGCAGCTACTCAAGTATTTCCCAGCATTTTATGGAACCTGAAGGTTCATTACCATGTTCACAAGAGCCCTCCACTGGCCCCTATCCTGAGCCAGATCTATCCAATCCATACCATCCCATCCTATCTCTCTAAGATCCATTCTAATATTGTCCATCCACCTTCGCCTTGGTCTTCCCTGTGGTGGCTTACCTTCTGGCTTTCCCACCAACATCCTACTAATATGCATATCCACAAATCACTCTAAGAGGATTTCTCCTCTGACAAAAGGAAAATCCATTAGGACTGCAACCATTACCAATGAAGGCTTAAAGCTGAGATTTTGATTTCCTGTGTGTAACATACCTAATGATTACATCCAACAGACATTCAGTCACATTGTTTATGAATTATATGGGAGTCCATCAGTTAAGAACAGTTCATGGTCTAAGGCTGATGCTTACCTTGTAAGTAAATGGTGAGTGTTCTTAACTTGCATCCTTAACACACAGAAGGCACACAAACACACAGACATAAATACAAGAACGAATATAGTTGTGCAACACAGTAATATCACGGCAATGTACCAACCATAATATTGGTCATGCGTGTACATCTTTGGATCTCTTCTGATTTTTTCCATTTAACAGAGAGAAGAAAGACTAAGATTGATTATATTTGAGTCATCAGTTCTGAAGTTTCTATTTGTGTAAGTATAATAAATAAGTGTTATTTCCTTGATATGTAGGGTCACAGCTAGTTCTATTCATGTACTGTAATCATGAGTTATGACCAGAGTTTTTCCAAGCACTACTAAATATTAAGAACGAGTTGAGATTTCCTTCTGGCAGTTGTATTATCTAAAATGGGAGCATCATTTTCATGCTAGTAACTCATAACATTCAATTCTTTAATGACGTTAGCTCATCATCTGCACATGAAGAACAAAATTATGTTGCAGTGATGTCCGTCTTGTGGTTTTCCACACATCATTCTAGAAATCAGAACAGGCATCTGAGTTTCCAAAATGAAACCTTCCTTATGACTAACTGTGTTCTTAACATTATTTATTTTAACTTTCCATACACCTTTGCAATGATCAGAGATACTGTACACCAGTACTATTCTTGTAGGATTTGAGGTTTTCACAGTGGTGACTATGAAGAATGCCGTCTTCTGGAATGTGGCACTGTGTAGATCTTGCTAGCATCCGCTAACCCCTTACTTATGCTGGTTCCTCTTTCACAGATTTTTCTACCTTGAAGATGGAGGTGATACGTTCCTCCAAAACATTGGTTCACACAAGATCTACATGGCGCCACATCCCAGAAGATGGCATTCTTCAATACTATTCTTAACACACATTTGATTGCATCTTAGATTATAGTAAATTCTGTATCATGACAATAAATTAAGAACACCATTTTTTTTCAAGCCACAGTACCATTATTACAGAACCGTTGGGGAAAAGCTACTATTACGAAAATTCCAAATCAGTCTGCACCCAAATTTCTATATGATTTATACTGGTGCACAACACTTGGGCTAGATTAAAGGTGTCATAGGCTTTCATAATATTCTAAGCATAGATCTTCTACTCTAGTTTCCAAAGACATTGAAGCAATCAGTTTCTACTATATGTAAAAGGAGTAAAATTTAATGGCTGCACCAGATACCCTTTCACACTGCCCCATTCTTGCTATACAGTTATGGAAACACTATTTATGCTTGCCCTTCTACCCCTATACAAGCAGTCACCTAAGTTCTTGACCCAGATGGCTGCCTCATCTGTTGCACTGTAAAATTCTGATACCATTCTATGCCATGTTATATCATTCTGTTTCACATTATGTCATACTACTGTATGTCATCCTGGAGTCTGAGAGTGCACACACTCAAGACTGAATAATGCACAAGCTCAAAGCTTTCCTAAAATGAGGGCTATAGGTGAGTGAGACTTGACCGTGAATTGTAGAAAGACACTTGACATTGAGACCATCAAGGAAGTACATGATCAAAGACCTTGAGGGAAACACCAAGAAAAGTTGGAGATCCCCATGGCAGTAGGCCACTGGAGGAAAGGTTTCGTTACTCAACCTATATACAGACTAGACAAGCTGCCTAACATTCCACAAAACCATGGTCCTATACTGGCTACAGGCCAACAGTTAGAAAATAAAGATCTACAGAGATACAGGTATTGCACTGAATCTTTTCTCTCTCTCTCTCATACATGTCATTTGAATATGGATACTGATTTAGCAGACTCTCTAAACTATATACTGTGCCACAAGGTGGAAGTATGTTCAGACCATACAGCTAGTTAGATACAAGTGCTTTACATTTGGTAGAGATATAAATTCTGAATAACATGAGTTTAGACTATTGGACTTAATGGGAATTCTGATATCATTTTTAGAAGCCACATATTAGCTAGTTGTGGGATTAATTCTTGCATGAAATAAATGATTAGCTAAAAATCAGAGCAGCTTATACTACTCTACATACAACAGCAAAGAGATACCTACATATTAATTTGTTTTATACTTCTCTTTGTTCAAGTGAAAGCAGAGTTTAATGCTTCCTTTTCACGTGCGTGGTGGGGTGTGTGTGTGTGTGTGTAAATTCTGAGACAGCAAAGAGTGTTCTATGTATTTCCTGGTAAATTTGTACTCAGATGTCCTGTCCTTGTTTATTCCATTTGGATGTATCTTTTACCGTTAATCTTGACTTTTAATGGATATACCCAGGCCATTATATGAAAATCCTATGTGTTCTCTGGGAAGGTGGGCCTCTTCACCTTTGGTGTTATTCATGTACCTTGGCTGTACTGTCGGAATTAAAGATGTTTCAAGGATTTACACAGGATGTGTAAATAAAACCTCTGGTGATGACCAGAGGCAATCCTTAGTATTTCCAAGGCTATAGTTTTAGACATTCGTAATTTGGCAACTTTGTATTATTGTTCTGAGGTTCAGTCATCACATAGTTCCCTTCCCTATCTCAGAGAAGAATGTATGATTCATACTGTTTTGCACTACTCTTGCAGTGAGACAACACAGTGTTTAAGAGGCTGTGGAACACAAAAGCATAGATGAACAAGTCAACAACACACAAACAGAAAGAATTTACAATTTTAAATTTTCCCTTAAAAACATCCCTACTGGTATCTGCCCAAGGTATTACACTTATACTTTAACAACCCTTATCAAATTTTCACAGATTTAAAATAAACTGCAAATTGGAAAAGGAAAGAAATTAAAAATAAGTTATTCTGAATAAAACAGTAACTGATATGTGAAACGTGTACAAAATTTCAGTTTGTGCCACATAAAATACTAGCCCAAAAATGTACATTGCTAACAACATTATTAACTACATCAGATACTATACACAAAAACATGTACTCTTGTCTGAATAATATTTATCAGCATTTCATTCTTTCGTGTCTCTTAACTAGAACAAATGCTGTTTGTACTGCAATGGCATATACAGGTATGGACATACATTATTTCACTTTAATTGTTTATCACACCTCACAGAGCTGGGAAGTACTATGTTGGCAATCTGAAGGTTTCAAACAACTAACACACTCCATGGTACACCATCATTTTTGTGAAGATATGTTCAGCCTAGTCACGAAATACTCTGACCCTTATAGAACCCAAAGATTCATTACCACATTCACAAGAGCCTGCCACACCCTATATTCTGAGTCAAATGATCCTAGGCCACAACCTTAAGCCCTTTTTCTTGAAGATTCACTTTAATATTATCTTCCCATCTATACTGAGATTTTCTAAGATTCCTTCTAGTATTCTAACAAAAGGTTTTAAGTTGTTTGTTATTTCTTGAGATCTGGAGTACTGGAGAACTTACAATTCCCTGTTCTAAAATGATAAAGTCTACATATTTTTCCATTTTGTTATTCAGTATCTGCTGCTTCCTGCATGCCTGTGTTGTTCTAAGTTACTAGTCACAGATCATCAGATTTTTTTTAGATCTTACGTGTTCCAAGATATTACTTTTGTAGGCAATGAACACTCACTGCAGAATCTTTAGCCACTGCCTTTCATGATTCTCCACATTACAATCAAATGTCGGGTGACTTTGTTTTGTTTAGAATGATGTAACTTTTAAATCCTAATAGCATGCATATCTTTCTGTGTTTTAGGGTAGCAACCAAACTCAGACTGCCAACAGCAAGACTTCATATACAGACCAAAACCAGAGAAATATCCTAGAATCTAACCTGTATCATTACCCAAGACATTTTACATGTTGCTGCTGTATGTGAATTTTGAGAAAAGAAACCTATTCTATGAAATAAGGTGAGAATACTGTTTGAAGACTACATAACCTGTGTGAAGGGAAGCTTTCATACACAAATTAAAGTATCCATCATGGCATGCAAATCAAAATATACTTCACTTACCCTATACTCTGGAATGGGTTTTGTCAATAAACTCACAACTACAGCCAGAACAATAGTTGTCCAGAAGAGCATCATTGCAAAGTACATGTAATGCACCTGTAATGAGAAAAACAAGAAATACTGGGAAGAACAAATCACCTACTTTTTTTTTATATGACATGGCCCACGTAGGAAATGACATATCCAACAACCAGGCCATTGCCTAGCAAGGGCAGGGGTGAAACACATATAGACACATAGAGACAGGGAAAGTAGGCTACCAAAAGAGGAATGGCTGGAGGCAGGGTTTCCTCTGCAGTTCAACCCAGAGTTACGTAAAGAGAACAGCCCTCTGCTCAGGACTGTGGTTAGCAGTCGGTCACAGCATGTAGAAACCCAAGAGCTGAAAACCTCATTATTAAGTCACTGCCTAGCAACTGCCAACTCCATAACTCTTTTCTGACTGCAGTATTCCAGCTTTCAGGTAACATGTCACATATACAATATGGCATTGCATAGGCTGTCTCTTCTGGCTCCACTCTTCCAGCATTCAGGAGTTGAGGAGAGATACACAGACACACAGAGAGCAAGGCAATCTTATAAGCCTCCTTAGTTTTTCAAAAGAAGGACAGCAGGCTAAAAAATGGATTCAAGTTTATTTATAGCACAGAGTAATAATAAGCAGGTTCACACTGTGATAATCCATCTGACTTGCTTGCTAAAGTATTTGTTTTAAAATAAAGCTATTAATAAAGAACCCTACATTGGATTTAATACAATTCTTACACCCTACCAGAAAAGTACAACAAATATGCCATAATTACTTCCATTCAGATCCCCTGCCTATTGGTAAGTTATAATCATGTGCTGCTGCTGTCCGAGGATATGGTTGTTTTCACAACAGGGAGCTAAAATTTTAAGAGAAGAATAACATTCAAATCAGGAAATAAATTAGAAGATACAAAGTGAGATTATTGAGGACATGAATCATACCCAAAGTCTCTACTCCAATACCTGACCACTGCTCTAATAGTCTTGGTTAGTGCACAAACTGGCAGGAGTATAAAGAAAATTTCATAATATCCTTGGAAGTTTTCTATTAGATCTGTGGTAAGAAACAGGATGCAGAGAATCAGTAAACAAAAACATTCCATTTTTATACAACCTATGCCTACATAATATTATAGTGTTTGATCATCCAATATTCCAAACAGAACAACACAATATTTTGGAAACTGGTTCTGTTTCCAACTTCAGGTAAAAAGTTTGAAGCCATATTCAGTTTGGTGAATGGGTTAATCTCAGTCACACGTAGCAGTTCTGTCTGAAATATTAGTAATAATCTATTAGACTACAAAATGTTACATCCCAGAAAACTATAATCTTAATATTCACTGCAGTAGGAGCCTCAAATTTCATACTGGTAGAGTTACATAAATTTTTCATTCACACCATTAGCAAAGTAATGATTCATCTCTGCTGGAAAGTGTGCTGATTTGACTGACAGTCACAAATTCAAAGTTGTGAATACAAAGATAGCATTTCCTCTCCCACTCTCCAAAGAATTCCTTTATGCAAACTAACAGAGTGGATGACACAAACAAGAATCTAGATTTCTAGAAAAACTTGATAGCAGGACCAGGAGATCCTAGAAAAAGCGAGTGGCATATTACAAGCATATTAGACCCTGTTTATTCAGTATGTTCCTGGTTTCATCATCACATTTTTGTGGCCTAAGGAAGTTATTAACCTCTTCCAGCATGGATTTGTAATATTTGATTCAGTTTTGAGCAAATAAATGTGAACAATTATGTTCCACACACACTGCAACTTTGTTTATACATAGCCTGTCAAACTTTCTGTAATAGCATATGAAGTCCGATGTCTCACTTTTTGCTAGTATTTTATTGAACAAAATACATGACATTGATATTTTATTTTAAACTCTAACATTCTGTTTATATTTTACTTTAATGCTTAACCTTCTGATTATATTTTATTACATCACACAGTTTATTCATGAATACATATCATTACAGTATGTTTCCCATTCAAAGTTTAGTTCAACCACTGCAGATTCACTGAATGTGCCACTATCAAGAAACATATTTCCCATGTCGGATGAGAGTTTACTACTTTGCAGTCTCATGTACAGCATGTTAAAATCATTTTTATGTTCTCATATACTGTACATAGTGTGACAAAGTACTAAGGCAACGAAAAAATTTATCTTGATACAGTCAACTCTCAATTATCCGGGGGCGGATAAGCCGATTTGCGGCCTAACTGGGGCTACCAGGGCTTTTTTGAGGCTTATATGTTGTTTAAGATTCATTCACTTTTGTATCACATGGTGAGTTGTAACACTATTTTCGTACTAGTGTGAACCGAGCTCTGCATTTTTTGGTCCCGCTATGCTAACACAATATTCTAGGGTAGGGGTCAAAGAATGCAAGGATTTGTGGAAAGTTTCAAGGACAGATACACTGCTCCAGTTGGTCTCTTTGTATCGATCTTCAAGTGCGTTAGCAAAATGTCAGGGTGTAAAAGGAAGCGTGTTGTGTTAAGTATTCAACAGAAACTCGTGTGAGCCGGGCTTCAAAATGTTAAGCAGTGATGAAACCGTAAGTTCAGCGGGGGTGCAGCCAGAAGAGTGGGAAGAAAGTGAGAATGAGGAAGAGGTGGACAGTGCTACTAGTAAGAAAATATCACATGGTGCTGCTCTTAATCATTTGGAATCCTTACTAGACTATCTTGAGAGTGAAGAGAACAGTTTATTAAGTGACAAGCTAATATTACGTAGGCTTCTTACGGATATCCGTAAAAAGGAAAATTCCACGAAAAAGCAAACGACAATATTAATTTTTTTTAAGTGTTAAGTGTGAATATTCGTAAAAAGTGTTGGATGTTGTTGAACACTGTGATTGAAATAACTAATTCACACTTCAATATAATGTAAAAAAGTATTAACTAGGCCATGAGATGACATAAAAATGAGGTTGAGTAAATTTAAATACAGGTAGGCCTATAGTATTATGAAGGTACAGTATTACAGTACTACTTTTAATAACATTTGTCTTAACCGGGTTTTCGATTAATCATGATTTCCATGCCCACCATTATCCCGGATAATCGAGAGTTGACTGTATTTTGATGGCTTTACATGTTTTCACAGCCAGAGATGAGAAGAGCATCTAGGCAGCCAATCCTTATTGTGTTTGTTGTGCCGTGAAGGCCGACTCCCAGTAATATGTTAAAAGAGTATTTAACTTTTTGTATTTTAGGGGAAAATGTTGGTTAGGATAGAATTATTTTTGGGAAATACTTGTAAGACGTACGAAAGAGGATGTAAGAAGGGTAAGAAACTTCAAGGAATTTCTGCATATGGAGTTAGATGGCCGTTAACCTTTGACGCGTCGATGCCTTGTCAGCAGATTGACGTTGAATGTATATCAAACTGCTAACTACAGAATTTACACTTGAGTGACAGGAGGGACGTTTGCAGGTAAAAGTGTTAGCCAAATGGTCTAGCAGTAGAAGGGGTGTGTCCACCCTAAGGATCCCAGCCAACCACTTGGGACAAGACATCATTATAGGCGGGCTTACACCCTCCGGGAAAGTAATGAGCTAGCATGAATAAAGGTATATAACCCGGAGAGCAAATTATTATCAGAATTATTCAAACAGTAATTTTGGCCCATTTGCGGCCGAAGGCCATGTCAGAATGGGCACCGACTAGACACCAGGCAACGCCATCCATCTGCAGACTCAACAAGTAAGTGGAACTACTCTTATCGCCATGCTTAATAAGTGTGATATTATTAAAGTGTAACCCCTCCAATCAGACTTGAGTTAGGAACATTACAACAAGTGTACAGGGCGTAAGAGTGATCCAACGGAGTGATGCAGAGGTAGATAGGTGTAATATAGAGGCTGCAGAGGGGGTGTCTAGCGGCAGGGATGTGTATATATATATATACACAAGATATATATAGTGGTTGAGTAGAACAGGAGAAAGAGGAGACTAGCGACCCGCAACTGGGTGACAAGAGAGAGAAAGATGAGGTCCAAGAATTGTCTAAGACAGTGTAATGTGTAACCCGACACCAGTTGGCTCTTTGTGATAGTACCAAAATGTATATAACTGTATATTGCTTGTTTATACTAATAAAGGGTAGCACAGGGTGAAGATGTGGGTTTCTGTTGTTGTGATTTCCTCCCTTACCACATTTCGCACCTGCGCCCTCCAGCCAAGCCCGGTGAACAGTGTGCCCTTAGCCAGTGAAGCAACGATAGAGGAAGTAATTCAGTCGTTTCCTTAGCCCTACCCCTGTGACTGCAGTACAGAAGGTGACAGCGGGGATACCTCCACGCCCCCCTGTCACAACGGTATAACAGGTGGCATAACAGTGTTACATGATTTGGCATAATATTACTAAATAATAGCCTTTACCTTGGAAATGATTAGTGGGCGAGTATCTTCTTCATAGCAGCGAGGCTCTGGGAAACAAAAATCCAATGTCATTCGAGTAAGTCCGATAAAAAGGCCAGTAATCAGACCCCAAAAGGCACCCTAAAAAATAAAATTTTAAATTAATAAGAACCTTCAGAGACTACTGAAGTGCATTTCTAGGACTCTGTCATACTGCCACATACAAGGGCTATTCAGAAAGAAATTTCCATTTATTTTAGGCAACAAATATAGGAGTAGAGAAGAGCTCACACATGCAAGGTAGCATCACATGAATCATTGTCTTGTAAACCATGACATAACTGGTCATCTAGTGTTTGTTCTTGTCTCTGCAGAGTTATGGTGTGTCCTGCGATTGATAGTACCGCCAGCTGTGAAATTAGCGCTGTTATCCACTTTCTTCACACTAAGAACATTGGTGCTGTGGAAAGGAAATCTATTGAGAATTATGCACAGTTGATGGTAAAAATGTAATAAGTAAAGGAACTGTCAGACAGTGGTGTAGAATGTTCAAAGATGGGCAAACAAATGTTCATGATGAAGAGCTAAGTGGTTGGACATCTGCAGTAAGAGATGATTCTTTTCAAAGTGAAAGACGGCACTTCAAAATTTCAGAAATTTCGTGTGAATTTTCACAAATTTCACATGCTCTTCTCTGTGAGATTACCACAGTCAGAATAGGCTATCACAAGTTTTGCATAAGATGGATTAAAAAATGCTCACAGGCACATACAAACTGCAGTGAATGGCTTGGGCTTTGACTTTTTAGAGTGATACCATGAAGATGACGATGAATTTCTCAATCACATCATATGAGTAACAGAAAATGAAACCTGGGTTTCATTTGTGAATAATGAAACCAAAGAGTAGTCAAAGTAGTCCTCAGGATTCTATCAATCTATTAGTTTCTTCCAACTTTCAAACTTTTTTAGGAAATTAAGCTATACTGAACAAAAATGGACCTATTTTAAAACTACATATTCAGCAAAAATGTAATACATGTAATATAATTATGTAATACATAATCAGTGAGACTGAAACATTTAGTGTTTTTAATTTTATATAATAAACATATTGACTCACTGGTACATTCACTACAATCACTTATTATATATTACCCAAAATGTGTGTTGGGCCAGTACAGAAACCTTGACTATATACATTCACAACAGGACGCAAAAAAACAAACAAACAAACAAACAAACAAACAAACAACAACAACAACAACAACAACAACCTACTGCTTTAAAGGCTGCCCAGGTCTTCATATTCTAACTAGTTGTTTTTGGAGTCTAATATCATTTATCCTCCTAGCATGTTCTAACAGTTTCCTTTCACTTGTAATTTTGGTTTGATTGGGCCGACATTAGTTCTTAAAAAATAGCATTCATTTTTTATGGTCTAATGAAAGGGATCCTATGGTGCATCTCAAGAATTCCATCCCTGTTACCTTTAGTCTTCCTATATCGCTCTCTTAATAACCCAAAGTAAATACCCTATTACAATTACAGTCTTCTGGGATGTCATGCCACATAATCTCATAGGTAGGTACCAGGTACCAATACTAGTGGAACCTGTTGCTTCTATATTCATGGTCTTATTCTGAAGATGGGAACAACAGGTTGTTTCAGACCACTGGTACCTGCCTACCAAACTACACAACATCACTTTCCAGAAGTCCATAACTTTAACTTTCGCCACTACAAGAACCTCAAATCTCACACCTGTTATCATATTTTCTCTCATTCTTTACATTTAACTAAGTAGGAGTTACACACGTGTATCCATACCTTTTCATTCACACGAGGCCATGTGAGAGCAAGACAGTAGATCGCAGCAATAGGAGGAGCTAGATAGGCACCAATCGACTGAATGTAGATATACAACTGACCGCCCTGTGTCTTCTGAATAATTGGAATCCATACGATGGATATAACAACCAAAACTGCTGTAAACACTCTGCAATGAGCCAATCAACAGAACTGTAGCATCATGATTTGTATTCTCAGCCCAAACATCAACTCTAGAGTTTTGGCCAAGTTTCAGAAAAACTATATCAACAAATGATGTACAGCATATGTGAGAAAAGTTGTATCTTAAAATGAAATAATAAAATACTTTATAATATTTTACTGTATAACAAAGAAAGGCATATTACGATCAGTCAAAATTTGCCATCCCCTTCAGCAGCATCTGACCCATTAACCCAACATGAATATGCATCACTTTTAATTGCAAAGCAAGATTACTATTCATAGGCATATTCTGAGATGAATAAAGTAATGCTGGGAATAGAACATTACAAGAAGTACCCTATCTAACAGATGGTCAAATTCTCTCCCCATTTATTAAATTGACTGCTGCTATCTAAATTACATAAATGTATCTTGACATAAACTTCCTTACTCTGCAACCACCCAAATTCAGGTTCACAGATGAAGCCCCAGTGTATGGACTAATGTGCTGCCTGGTTCAGGCAGTGACTGATAAGTAAGGAACGAAGGTGGAATGCTGATTAGTAGGTTCAAATTGAGGAAACATGGGGCAGAAAAACCTCATTCAGTGCCATTTCTTCCACCATAAATCTCATGTGAGGTCACGCAAGACTGAACCCAAGGCTCTGTGGTGAGAAGTGAGCATCTAACCGCCTGACATATGGCACAGTGTCACAAAATAATTGTTAATCATAGGTGAAATCTTATGAAATTAAATGGATATAACAAAATATAGAATGCCATATGCACTCTCATGTATCTGCCATAATAAAATTGGTATGCTGATGAATGACTGGATCAATATTTTATGCTCCTGCTTTAAGAGAGACAAACATAATATTTATCACAACATGTCACGCCTGTATCACAAGCAGAAAATTTAATATTACTATTACATTCTCTATTTAAAAAATATTGTTAATTTTAAGATGTCAGATGACAAACACTTCACCATATAGCTACAAGGAGCATGCCAGTGCACACTTTCTATGCTGTGGGTCAAGCACCACTTTCCACATTGCTCAACCCACAGCACAGAAAGTCAAGGGTTCTACACTATATAGCCTCAATACTGATAGTATTATTAAAAACCCAACTTTAAAAAGTAAATTAATAAAAACATGCCAGTACCTATTTCACAGGTGAGCCTGTGTTTATGGCAAGAGAAAGCTCACTCGAGACAGCAAAAATACTGAACCAATTCATGAGTTCAGAATTTAAGACTGAAAAGGGACAGAATATGTTTCAATTACCAGGAATAGTAAGAGAGATACTGTTTCATAACATTTCAATTTCTTTCAATATTATAACATCGTCAACCAAAACTTATTTAAAACATATTTTAAAATATGTATAAGAAAGAACAAAATTAAATACCTTAAGTCCACTGTAACTAAATTATAATCTGAAGACAAATTTTATCATGTAAAATAAAAGCAAATTTTTAAATTAAACAATATAAAGTTTCAACAATTTAATTAACATTTCTGTACAAAAACTTGTTTTTATCAAATTACACAGTATCTAAGATAAACAATTCCTTGACATGAAGAAAAAAATTCTGACACTTCTTTAGATTACCTAATACAAATTCCCGTTCATATACAACTTTTGTTATCTTGTAATGATTTTCTTTTCCATAATTAAAATTAAAAATATGCTCCGAAGCACTATTCGCCTGGTTATAATAATGTTTAATTTTAAACACCACCTCAACAATGAAATAAATACATAAAATAACACTTATTAAATGTCCCAGGTTGCTTGCTTAAATTTAAGCTTATTTCACTCTGGAACTTACCTTGAAGCAGATAATGCCAAGCCAAATGGCTTTCAAAAATTTCAAATTGGACCCTCAAATATATTTGGAAGTGAATATTCCTTCTTTTTACAAGAATTCTTCAGAAGTTAGTTTTAAAACTAGATTACAAACTAATATACCAATAATGTCACCTTAGTAATAACAGGAAACTTACCCTAAAACATGCCCCATGGATGCATCAGTGACCTTTCCCAATAAATTTCAAGTAGTTGCCACTTAAAAGAGGAAGTTTTAAAGTGTGCTAACAGAGGTTATATAGTCTCTTAGCTTTTAAAATCTGCTAAGTACACATGTTAAAATAAATGTGCAGCAGATGAGATATAATCAGTGGTGTCATCCAGCAGGCTTGCACAAGTTGAGTAGAACCTGTTTCTGGAAGTCTGGTTAATGGCAAATTTGGTGGTTAGAAGAATTTTAAAAGCATGAAGATAATGTGAAATTAGAACAATGGTATGTAGATATTACACAGATCACTGAGACACATGATAAACACATTCGTATGACAACAAATATGAAGAATGTATGGGATGTAATCATTTATGAATTTTGGTTCTTCTGAAAGCACACAATTTTGCCTCCTATTTCAGAGCAGCAGATATCTGTTTCAGTCTATGTGCTACAGACTCAAGGACAAGGGTATGGCAGTTCAATTTATGATGACTCATTACACTGACTTGACTTAGTATTATGTGCCTCGGTACACTGACAAACAGAATGTAAGTTCAGTATATTTCACACCCACTGCAAAATCATCACTTCCTGAAATAAGCTTATTAATAAATGAACAGTTTGAACTACCATAAAATCTACCTTCCCTCTGTCTATGTTTTGATTGCTGAAAATCCATGTTGAAAACATGAATTTGGAAACATTTAGAAAGACTTCCAGTCACATATTGGCAACTGACTATCATTTTATTACAGAGGCCTAAGGAACTTCTTAATGTGTAAATAGATAATTAACCAGTTGCTAAACCCTGGGTTCCAGTCGGTGCTTAATCTTCCAACTGGAAACAAGTGGCTTAATACTGAGAGTGATGTTGGAAAATTGAAATGAGATATCTGGGGAGTTCCATGACTCCTCCTCTGCAACCAAGAAATCTCTCAGGCAATGAAATATTATGTTAATATTTTATAGCAATTTCACATTCTTTGTGTATGACTAAATTGGTATGCACATTATTTTAAATACACTGAATGATACGATGATCTGGCAGTACTAACCTAGCAATGAAACAACAAGGGAGTGTAACTAGCTTTCTCACTGGTAGGCCTATGAAGCTTAAAGATTGTGAAGTAAACAGCTATTTAGTGTCTAGCAGTGAATCAGAACTGTTAAGAGTATAAATCAGCTTCTCTGTTCACTGATACAAAAATGGTTAGCTGCAAAACAGAAACAGTTTGTCAATTTGGTCAGAAAAGCAATACGAATATTTCATGCCTAAGTTCTCTTGACTAACAGATACTGACAGTAAGAGTTGGTTGTAAAGCATGTGCTCGACTATGTCCCTGAATGTGGATGCAGAAAAGCATATTCATCTCTCTCCTGAGTGCAGAAGTGATAAACTTCTTGCCCACAGATCACCAAACACAAGCATCCATGCATAAGATACTTAATGCAAATTCATTATCATTGTCACATGTTAACACTGTACAAATATTAAGAGAAATCTAAGAAGATGAAATAGCTTCTGCAGTTAATAAAACTGATAAAAAGCACTACTCTTCAACTGCCTAATCCAAGGAGTCAAATCCTTCATGAGAAGCCAAAAGTTGCTCAGCTACTCAAGAATTTCTACAGAATTTTATGGAACCTGAAAGTTCATTAAAGTGTTCACAACGGCCTGCCACTGGTCCCTATCCTGAGCGATATTAATCCATTCCAAACCTCCCATCCTATTTATCTAAGATCCATCTTAGCACTATTCTGGCATCTGTGTCGAGATCTTCCTAGTGGTCTCTTTCCTTCATGTTTCTGCACCAAAATTCTATATTCATTTCATGTATCTCCTGTGCATGCTATATGCCCTGCCCATCTCATCCCCTTTGGCCCAATAACTCTTAATTATATTTTGCAAGAAGTACAAATTATGAAGCCACCTATCATGCAATTTTCCCCAATTTCATATTATTTCAGCCCTCTTTTGCCCAAATATTCTCCCGAGCACCCTATTCTGAAACAACCTCAGTCCATGTTCTTCCTTTAATGTCAGAGACACAGTTTCACACCCATACAAATCTCCCAAAAATTACAATTTTTGTAAGAAAACCTGAAGGAAAGAGACCGCTATGAAGACTTAAGCATAGATAGGAGTACAACATTAAAATGAATCTTAGGGAAATGGAATGGGGGGTTTGAAATGGCCTCATCTGGCTCATGATAGGGTCCAGTGGCATACTCTTGTGAACCTTCAAATTGGCTTCTCAAGGACAACTCAGTTTCGTAGCGTTAGTTCAGCATAAGGTAAAAGGGCCTTTAGCTTAATGAACAGTACAGTCACTAACATAACAGCAGAGCTATTACACAAAGCTTCAACTGGTTCTGATGCAACAGCATCAGAAAGAAAGTGAAACAAGAATATCCACAGCACAAGATAAGAAGATGGCTGTTTGAAGCCTCATTTTGTTTTGCATGCCAACTATTTCATAAGCCTGAATAATAGCTTAGACTGAGAGAATTAGAGAGGAATCCAATGATTTATTTTAGGACTTTTCACACATTTTTATGAATAACTAATATTATGTACAGCTGCCCTGATGGTAGTTTTCTGTTAAATATTTCATTAAAGATTTCCTTGTATTATATTTTATAGAACATGATGGCGCTTTCAAAGTATAAAATGTTCAAGTTGAGCCTTAAAGAACACTCACTTTAAACAGCTAATAAAAATGCTTCAAATTACTGAGACTTAAGCCAACCTACTATTACAAAATTTGGGTGACACCACTGGATACAATAAGACACTGCACCCGAGTAATGGATCCCAAACACTAAAGAGGCATAAGAACACTTAAGTTTGTTCAAAAAGTAAACATCCTCATGAAAATATTTGCTGTCACCAAGGAATTTGCTATGGCTTCCCACCACGGTGGCCCAGGTTTGATCCCAGGTCTGGTCAAGTGGCGCTGGGGCAGGTTTTCTCCGAGTACTTCGGTTTCCCTTGCCAATCTTCATTGCACCAAATTCTCCATCATCATAATCACCTGGGGCAGGCTACAATAGGCCAATNTTACATAGGTAAATGCTATACACTTTCTCACCTATTTTACATTTATTTGCCTTAACAGGTTTTACATGCCTTCCCTCTATCTTGAACGATTATGTCAAAATCAGGTAGAACAGGAATGAGCACTTTACCAGTTACTGGCTGTAAATCACACAAATGATAAAAGTTAATACAAATTCTAGATACTTTCAACACCTCTATAATTTGAGGCTTGGCTGAAAACAGTTTATCCCATTCCTACACTTACATTTATACAAATTTTAAAAGGTATTGCCAGAGGGCATGCCACTGGCAGACATTTCTGGCTGTAGCTACATTACTACAATAAACCTCCCATAAAAATTATACTATCCATAACTCTGAGTCCCCTTCTTAGCTCTTTGACTTGTTTTCAATTGTGACACATTGTTTAAACTACATAAAACTTTGCTAATACTATCAGGATCACGTTCCATCATGTAATGTGTATGTAAGATTTGAGGCTTTCACGGCGGTGACTATGAAGAAAGCAGTCTTCTGGGATTTGGCACCGTGTATATGTGGTGTTAACCGACGTTTCGGAGGAACGTATCGCCTCCATCTTCAGGGTAGAAGAANCCCAGAAGACTGCTTTCTTCATGTAATGTGTAATTTACAGATTCATCCAAATCTCTACCAAAAGCTTTCCCAAGCAATTTGCAGTATGCTCACTTTCTATCAGGTTTATCTTTTACTGTTATGTTAATTGGAAAAGATGAATTTAGTTAGTCACAGGACAGAACTATACATAATATGCAATTTGCCAAAATAATAAGAAACAAACAAAAATACAAATACAAAATTTGAAGATTCAGAGATGAAAACCACTCCACCTCTTCCTAACAGTAGAATTATGTACTCAGAATCTTAAGTTTAATTTCTGTATGGTATATGAAAAAAATTGAGAAAAAGTACGAGAATCGTATCAAAAGCTCACAAAAAATACTTGAATTTTGAGATTCTGCTAATTGGATTATAGCCGGAGATTTCACAGTGAAATGTACAGGTAAATGCTCTACACAATAAACTTATGAAACCTCTATACTGCATTACACTTTGCTTCAAAAATCCATGTTACATATGATGACACAGCTGAAAAATCTTTCTTATGAAATCCTTCCCTTTTGTTCAAAAAGCATTCTTGTTCCTGTGATATGTGTTTGTTAAACTGTATTTTACTGTCCACACATAGGTGCCACAACAGATGACACAAGAGTGACATGGATCCAAATATTCAACTCAAACATCACCTCAGAAGTAATTAAGAGTATAGTAAACTCCTTCAAAGCCATAAAGTCAAATATTTGGTGATGATCAAGATACAGATTGGTGGAAAAAGTGAGCAACTATTCTGTTTCAATGGCAGAACAATCTTCATATACTGCAAAGGCATACATTTTTCATTACAGAACTTCATTTTGCAGTCAAACTACAAGTATTTAATAATTATAACTGAAAAGCACAGGTCATGCGATGACAAAATCTTTGGATTTACATCACATATTTATTTCTGAGCTTTATTTCTGTGTCAGGTGACTTAGTACTTTTGCATTCATATAACAAAGTCAGTCTGCACTGCTATAATATGTCCAGGTAAAGAAATAGTACTTGGAGATGTGAAGGAAGAAATGATTTCTTGAATAAAGATAGAAATATATCCATGACAACTTTCCCGTCATATGAAAAGCTGTGGCATTTCTTTTTTAAGTACAGCAAGAGACAAACCCACTTCAAAAAATATCTACATTTGAATTTAGAAACATCAGAGTTTATAGTTTACTAAACCAATAACCACAAATGTAAATAATTTTTATTGGTATGCATTATTTCTATACTTGGTCAATTAGCAGCACCTCTATGAATAAAATATACTGAATTTATTTGTAACATTTCTAGGCTTACTACAAATACAACTGTTACAGACATTCCCACTCCTAGTTGTTGACGTTTGTGTGTCCAAAGTGACTGTTTCTCAACTGAAATAATTAAAACAAAATTGTAATTTTAATGGACAAAGGTAATCACATCTGAATAATCAAAATATTATCTGACACAACCAAGTATAACTGAAATTAGGCGTAGCAAATAGCAATTGCCTATGTTAATAGTCACATAAATGATTTAACAAAATACTAATTATATATTCATCTCAGGAAAAATTAATGTGAAGGCATGTTAAGATCACAGCCATTCCAACCCCACCTTCCCTTTTTGTTGGGAAGAAATCCTCTCTGAGATTATTATTTCAAAATATTATTTCCACTTTATTCCAATGTGGTGTATAACATCCATAATTGGTTAAATCTGTAATTACAATTTCTGTTAAGGTTGAAAGTGGTCTGCTTAGAATATATATTTCAGCTGATTATTCATCTTCTCTGTTAAGTCTTCCTTATCATTCATCTTTCAATGTCATATAATATCATTAAGCCAAATACTTCAATTTGAATTGTTGCATGTTTACAGACTGTATTTAGTTTGAAAACATGACTTATGACACCCATGATTTTGATGTAACTGACAGTTTTTACATTCAGCGATTTTTTCCATTCTTAAGACAAATTATATCGTAGAGAATTAGAACTATTATCTTATTCAAGCATTTTCTTATTAAAAGTATCCTTTTCTTCCTAAAATGTCATTACTTTACTTTTTCTATCATGTGTCTCCATGAAATATTCTGAAACAATAATGTTTAAAATTGTGAAGTGAATTCCACTATAAGTAATATAGTTCATGTATGAATAAACCATAAAACAATAAACTTATTACATAAATATTCTGCCCATATAGAGTTGTTATGTTTGAATATGTGTATATTCTAAAACAGATATGTATGGGTGACTGTTTTGTGACAGTGCTAGGTCATCATCTTCCCCTTGTGTGCTCCATGAATTGGATGCCACCTTCACAACTGAGTCAGCTGTGAAGAATGAAGACTGCAGCAAAATTGTACAGTATAGTTTACTTGCCCACTCACAGTATGTGCTTTACATATTGCTCATAATTAATCATATGTGCATATAACACAGGTCCCACATGGTTCTCACTCTAGACACACAAATTACCACTTTAATATTACTGAATAGACTGACTTTCAGTGTCCAGTTATCTGTTTTCTTATATGTTCACATGCCCATTTAAATAAAACAGAATCTTCTCTCAAAAAATGACAACTCAGTATCAAGTCTGCCATCATGAAATGACTGAAGATACCAGTTAGAGAGATTCCTGAATTAAGTGGTTGCAGAGTGCATAGCTGTAGTTTTCATGAGTTGTTACCTCATTGTTACTTTAAATACTACTGTTTCTTGTGCAAGATGCTACAGAGATTTATCCAACTGGTATTCAAGACAAGTTCTAATATGACAATTTTTTTTGTGTTAACACTAAACACTGGAATTTTTGCTTCTTATCTATGTGGGGCAAACCAAAAGTTTCTGAAATTTGAATTTCGCGTGCGAATGGTTATGAGTACATCGAAATAGCATTCGCCAGAGTTAGTTGAGCATTAGCGGTTGGTTTCCGGCCTTTGAAGAGATGAGGTGAAGTCCAGCAGCCACGAGGTGTTAAGTTGTATCGAGTGAATGGATTCAAGACAGACTACTGCAAATGGCAGTAATTGGGACACTGTAAATTGTGTAAGTGTAAGAGCGAGTGTTCAATAAATTTGCTATGATCCAACACGGCGTGAACTTATCTGTCGCATTACAAACGCCCAACACGTGACAATATGAACACACAAAATAACAGACACTGAAGCATATGAAATTCCCATTTATATGAGAAGTTTCAATCCATGACATAGAAGTTGATGTTATGTGCACCCCAAATGTGAGGAGGAATACGGGGCCCACGTTTTATGCAGATATAATTCTGAGATATGCGAAGCAGATTCTGCAAGCTGGTCTGTAAACTTCATTCCACGGTGCTGCTGAAGCTTCACTGTTGCTGCAGTTGACTGAGTAGAAAAGGCGGCAAGTGACATAGTGAGAACATGTAATGGAAAACCCACTCCCAGAACAGCCGCCAATAACCTCCATGCATCTGAAGAATCGGAATATTTAATGACTGAAAGCTTATGATGATGCATTATAAAAGAAAAGGAAGGATGTGCAAAATCATTGTGCTGCTGTGAATAACAACAGCTCTTCTTTTTGGTTTGTATGTGTGTTTTGTACCTTGCAAGACGCTACACACATATAAGAATTCTGTTCCTTCTGATACATTTCTATCAATATTAATCATATCATGATAGTCATCGTTTATATATTCTGCATTATAAATTCATATTATTTATTTTACAAAATGCTTATTGAAGAAGGGAAGTATTTTCCAATTATTCTTTCATTACTAAAAAGGTGGTTCTCTACTTCTGACTGAAGTGGAAAATATATTTTGATAGAAGTAAGAACATGGAAGAATGAATGAAATATGCCAGTTAATAACTGGATTGCTTTGCATTCAGTAAGTCAGACCTCTGCCAAGTCTTACGTCTAGTCAAAAATATTTTCCTTTTTATAATTTTAGTGGCTTAATAAGAATATGACTCATTGATTCTAGGGTCTCATTGTGTGACTCACTTGCTGACAATGAGAAGCTCCTTGGTGGTTGCCTGTTTCCTCACTCGCTTCCACATGTCCATCGTGAACAGCGTACTCGCGCTGTTGAAAACGGAACTAAGGTCAGACATCAACGCTGCCAACATGACTGCTAGCATCACTCCACGTAGACCTACATGGATAGAATAATAAAAAACAAATCTGCCTTGATGAAACCTAGTATTATGTGAACACACTCGATTGGAAATTGTGGAGGACTATGTGAACTGAGAGAATTTGATGATTGTTTGGATTATTTGGGCTTGAATCCTTCAAAGGTTAAACAGAGAGAAAAACTGATGAATCAACAAAGAGCTCGTAACCAACAATGATGTTCTGTTTCCTAGACAAAGACGAATACAACCATTAAAATTCGTGTGACTGCCAAGTTGAATGGTTCTAAGTTCATAAACCAAGGACCATCTGTCTGGCAACGGCGACTAACCCAGCCTCACAATTCTTTCCGAACTTTGCAATAAACAACTTGATGATTTGATTCAGATTCATTTTGGATCTGTTGGTAGAACAAATGACAAAATAAAATTCCCTCAGCTATCTATACTTCACAAACCAATGTGGGCACAATAATAAATTTAGATATCTGTGATGAAACTTACCACACTTCTCTAACACAACCTAACATAATGACACAAGCTGGATTGTCTTTAAGATGAACACAGCATAAAAAGTGAGGGTAACAACAGGATGGTTAAGACCATTAGATTAACACAGCTACCAGATCTGACAACATTATAGCCACCCATACGCACCTGCATGGAAACAGATGAATATAGCCACACTGTTCACGAGAGGGTTCTTTGCTACAGAAGGCATATCAGCCTCAACTACTTGGTGAAGTTAACAACGCTGGCATTCCTCTTCTATAATCAACAAACTTTAAATTCCTACACAGACTATGTAAACTTGTCTCCAAAGTCCACAGTTGCTCAAGACAAGGGCCAGTTGATAGCAACAAAAAATAAGAATGCAAAAGAAAACAACAAGAATTGAACCAGTCAACGCACTTCCTGCAAGGACTGACTAATTCACAGTTGTCAGTATTTGCTTCTCTTATTTTTGATTTCAAATGGTCTGCTCACTAGAGATGTGTGGTAACATCACATAGATGTATTATATTCTATCGGCATGATTAGTAACACTCTGTAATACATACCTAAAATCACTGCTCCTTGGAGATCATAGTGCTTGCCCCACGTACCAAATTTCATGAAGGGAGAGGGTGTCCACAAGTAATAAAACAACTACTGTAATCACGTACCTGATGGCATTATACCCAGTACTAGACGAGGATAGGCATTGTTAGAACAGCTAACTGGGTTACCACATGCTTTCTCGCAGATTTCTGGTTTTACACAAGCGATCTCATCAGGGAACAGGACTCGGCTGATCATTCCAGGCAGGACCATGATGAAAACGGGAAGGATCTTTACGTAACCAGCTAGAAGAGTACCTCCCTGAGCATGAGACAAAGACTTGGCAGCTAGAGTTCTCTGCACCATCAGCTGTGTGGAAGATACATGTAAGTGGCCTAAGTACTTTACCTTATCTTGCTTTTGGTTCTTTTCTCTTTAGTTCATTTCTAGTCCATCCTACCCTTTCTCTTCTCTCTCTTCCCATCAGCAGTACATCATAATGCACCCTGAGTGGTGACAGTTTTTCTATGAGAATAAACTAGTTATTCTTATTAAAAACTTCTGAGTTTTCTCATTAAAATATTCATAAGCACAAATTTCATAACAATAATATTCAGATTTACAAGATGTATAATTCAATTATGTAGTCAATGTTAATATCCTCTCACCCCTTACTTAGTTTTTCCTTGTTATTATACCTAACCAGATAAAAAACTACTTCCTTATAATAGTCAAGACACTTCAAGCAAAATGTGCCCCCTTTTTCGTCAAAATTTGTTCTCACCTGATCAGCGCACCAATACCAAATAGAAGACGGTGTCTGTCCAAGTAGGAAAGCTGGCCATGGCATGTCAGAATGTATGGGATCTCTTAACATGATCCACGAGTCCTGACGTGGAACACCACAAGTTGTATTGAAGTATGTTTCATTTGGTACAGCTTGAAGATAACGCACTGTCAGTTCACTCCATCCTCCTACTGCCATGAAGCCTAAAAATCAGATATACAATTAAAAAAATAATTAAGTTTACTGCAGTCCATGATTGTTCCATGCAACAAAGATGTACTCAAACTTCAATCTGACCAAAGCAAACTACAGCATTACTAAGCTAGCCATGGTGGAGAAGGAAAATGTCATAGCCTGAATTGGCCCTAGCAATTTCACTGCATGTGAAAGAAGAAAAATCAACATGATGATGAAAACAAGTTTATAGTCAATATGGACCTCCAAATCCTTAACACATTCACTCTGCAGTGAAAGAACATTTTCAAGAGTGTGCTGATAATTAAAGAAACAACTCTAATTTTACACAATTTAAGCTTCAAAAAGTGAGCAAAACACAAAATGCCTATCAATCAATATTCAGACTGTAAAAGTAAATAAACACTAGTTATTTAATGGCTCAACAGACTTTAGAGTCATCAGCAAACAGATAAAAAATTAATGTAATTAATTACACTGTATAAGACACTTATAAAAATATTAAAAAGCAATGGTCCAAAGACTAACACTTGAGGTACACCTAACATCATAAAAAATTGTGATGGGAGTACATCATAAAAACGTTTATTAGGTAACTGCAAATTCTTTTTAAGTAACTGGGAGATAAGTTAAACTTAAGATAAGCAAGGCAGAACTTAGCAAATTGCAAAGGTTGGCTTGTTTAGGTATCACAGGAGCAATTCGAACATCCCCAACAGCTGCACTGGACATACTCCTTGGACTCCCCCCAATGCATCTACAGTTGGAGGCAGAGGCATGGGCAGGAATCTACCGTCTCCAGTGCAGTGATCAATGGAAACCTAGATCCGATGGTTTCGGCCATGCATACATAACTCAGGACATGAAAAAAGAACCAATATTACAAATGGGGTCTGACAAAATGATACTGAGACATGTATATGAAAAACCCTTCACAGTCAGATTTCCTGACAATCATTATTTTCCTCCTGATGTTAAGTTTGACATTATTGTGAATTGGTTCATTTTTTAAGTATGTTAGATGCCCTAAAATATCGTGTTATACTGCTTGGGGATTTATAATTAAAATAACAATGATGATGGCGCTGATGATGATGATGATGATGATGATGATGACAGAACTCAGACGTTCAATATCAGTGCAAGAGGGAAGTATGCCTTATGAACTTTGCCTGAAACACCTCACTTGTGTATGTTGCAGTTCTAAGCTACACAGATCATCTAGGAGTAGCATGAAGAGTGAATTCGTGTTTACTTTCAATAGAAATTCAAGAGGCACGTTACACAACCTATTGGTATACAAATGAGCTATGATTTTGTCTTTGAATACATGTGCTGGCTACTACAAGATGGCATCTTCAATGACCTCACAGTATATCCTTCATGAAGACATGAGAGAACATTACATGTATGTCATTCCTTGGGAGAATTTTCAACAAACAAGAGTCTTTTATGTCTCTATAATCTTCCAAAGCATTGCCAGCTATCCTAAGGGAACTATATGCCATACATGTGGCTCAAATTGCACGAATACAATTTCTGTAACCCAATATTACTATTTAAAAACAGACATTTCCATGATCCTCACCAATGTTAACAACATTACTATCTCCACGAAAAGAAATTGAAGTGTTTCATCAATTCAGCGCACCTGTGATCATGACCATGACTGATCCAGATATGATGATGAAAAACTGTAAGGTTTCCATGTATATAACTGCAGCTAATCCTCCAATAGCAGAGCAGATATACGTTAGGCAGAGAAGTAACAAGATGCTGTACCAGATGTTCCAACCCACAGCTTGTTGGATGAACAGGGATCCACTGTAGATGTTAACCTGCAATCATAAAACAAGGTTACTGAATGGCAGGCATGGCAGCATTCTGGATACAATTTGGTAAGAGGATTCAATTCTTTCTTACACACTCTTTTCTGCAGCTGTCATTAACAGTAACAGTTCTAAATACAAGAGGAAATACTGAAATACTTAAGAGAAGAATAGATATTATTATGGGTATCAGGAAATAAAGAAGTCAGTAACATATGGGGACATAAAAAAGAAATTAATAAATGATAACAGAGTGTACTACTCCTACTCCCACAACTATCACCACCACCACAGTTCATAAGTATTGTTAAAATAAATAAATCGAGGGGGTTTAAATTGGATGGATATCTGGTATATGGCAGATTTTAGACAACATACAAGAATTTGCCATGAGCTTAATTTGTGATCAATATTTCAAATGGAAACATCAAAACCAATAACGAGAAATTTGCATATACTCCATTTCCTCACAGATGAGGTCGCATTAAGTGGAGGAACTGTTTTGGAAGAGACTGTGGACCTGTTGTCTGACAGATTACTGATGAATGAATGAAGATAATGCATGAAGCTGACAATTTCACCCATGTTAAGTGGGTCTCTTGTCAGCACGGTTTGGTACATCCTCAGGGTGTGGACAGAGATTGCCTCCAGATATGGAGGACAGCTGTGAATATATTGAATAAGCAGCCCTGGTCAGCAGACAGGGGGTGGTTCTCCAGCTTCGGGGGTTGGGCATGAGGCAAATAACTCCTCGCCTTAAAATATATGCTTGTTACAAAATTTCACAAAGATCCTCAAACTTGGACAGAGTCTTTGGTTACACAACCTAAGCTAAAGAAAACTGATATCAGACTTGTTACATGGACTGTAAGAAGTCTGTATAGGGTATGTTTTCTCATGACAGTTGTGAAAGAAATATCGAAACATATAAGTTAGATTTAGTGGGAGTACAGGAGGTCAGATGGGGCAGAGGTGGCACTGAACCATCATTGGTATATACATTTTTCTACAGAAGGGGGAATGAGAATCACCAATTACATACAGGTTTTATTCATACATAAGAGGTCACTGGTGGGATATCATTGTTCTGAACATTCATGTCCCAACAGAGGATACATCTGATGATACAAAGGACAACTTCTATGAAAAACTAGGAAGTGTATTCGATAAATTCCCCCATACGAAAATTTTGTTTGGCGAATTCAATGCCAAAGCAGGTAGGGAAGACATCTGCAAAACAACAATTGGGAATGAGAGTTTGTATGAAATTATTAACAAGAATGACGTTAGAGTAGTAACCTCTGCACATCCAAAAATCTGACGGTCCAAAGTATGATGTTCCCTCACAATAACATTCATAAATTTACTTGCACATCTGCTATGAAAAGATTCACAACCAAGTTGTCCATGCTTTAATAGACAGGAGACTGCATTCAAGTATACCTGATGTCCAATCATTCAGGGCAGCAGATTGTGATACTGACCACTACCTGGTGGTGGCAAAAGTTAGGGAGACTCTGGCAGAGAATAAACAAACAATGCACAGAATTCATATGGAGAAGTTCAATCTCAAGAAAATAAATGAGGTGCAGGGTAAGGGGCAGTACTGTGTTCGCAGGTTCGCAGCTTTGGAAAACTTATACACTGAGTTGGACAGTAATAGAGTTTGGGAAAATATATTAGAGGGAATATCACAATTTCAACAAAAGATACTATAGGTTATCATGTACTGATGAAGCATACGCCATGGTTCAACGAAGGACGCTCAAGATTATTGATCAAAGTAAACAAGCCAAATTGAAGTGGTAACAGGATCAAAGCAAAACAAATGGGGAAAACCTGCACAATTTAAGATGAAAAGCCAGCAGGCATCTTATAAATAAAAAGAGGGAATATATGAATAACAAAATTGATGAGGTTGAAACAACAGTACGAACAAAGCATTAGTGACCTGTATAGACGAATTAATGTATTTAAGAGGGGTTACCAACCTATAAGTAACTTAATGAAGGATGAAAATGGTGATGTGCTTGCAGATTCCCAAAACATTGTGAATAGGTGGAAGAACTACTTCTCTCAGTTACTGAATGTACAATGTAACTGACTTTAAGCAGATGGAAATACATACAACTGAACAGTTATACAGTGTGCCCAGGTTGTCCAGGATTGGTTATGACTCATTTTTTTAAAATTTACACTGCAATGCCATCTGTTGGCGAGTCGTGGCGTTAAGATTCTTGAAGTTTCAGCTGTGGTTGTCTGTAATTTGAGAGCGCAAGCATCGCTGCATCATGTGTTCTGACCTTGACTGTAACAGTACAGCCCGGTTATTTAGAAGTGACAGTCCAGGAAAAGCTGCGCAGTGGATGGGCAGGTCCATTCGCGAAAGTTGAGGGGTGTTGTGATTAGTCATTCGTCTGTATTTAGTGCGAGCAGACGTCTCAAGTTCGGTCAAAAGCGTTCTTCCTTGTACAGTAAAGTCAAAAAGTTTTGACTCTTGGAGTCGTATTTGAGTGTATTATTCTCTATTTACTGTATTAATATTTATTATATTGTTTATTTTAATTCGTTGATTTTCTTTAGTGTTCATTTATATTTGTACATTTTTTCTATCTCCTTTAACATGCCACCTACACGAAGTAAATTGAGTGGAAAAGTGTTGCATTCACAATGAAGAGAAATTGTTAGTAATGTATATATGTATATGAAAGAGGCTGGGCCAACAATTACAGTGAAGAACATAGGAGTGGAAGCACCAAAGGCAACAGATGTATTGGAAAATAGTGTCAGAAGAATAAGAGAAACAAAAAATATCGAATCTGGGGCTTCCACTTCCTATTCGACACCCCATAAAGAAAGACCTAGGAAATCTCCACTAGCCACTTTGAACGACTTTAACTAGTCTGTGGTTGGTCAAAACAATACCACATTTAAGATGGATGACGTCATTAAACTGGCAGACCAAAAATTGGCTTCCATAACTGCAGAAGAATGGTAACGTAGGTGCCAACATGTAAGAAATATTGAGCAACAATTAATGGCACGGGAAGGCCTTTTGGACGCATGACGGGAGTTCGTCTTCCATGTTGGCAGTGATAGTGATGACAGTTCTGATGATAGCTCCGATTCATCTGGTGGTGACGAAGAAGGACAGGCATGTGGAGATGATATCTATGCGGACATTGCCGGTGTTGCCCCTTTAGAATAGACCCGTATAATGTGTAAATAAACTCTTCATGTATATAACAGTGAAAAGTGTATAATAGTGTATAGTGCATAATAGTCTGCCATTCGGCACTTAAAACTTAACATCGTATGTGTGAACATCATCGAGACAACCGCCAACAGTATGCAACACAATGAGGTAAGAAATTATCTCCTTTTGAGAACGCCTGTACTGCATTCCCCTCCACACTTTTCAGCATGCTGGAGCTCTCCCCGCCACTGCCAATACTTCTCATACTCCGCGTCGGAGGACTGTCACTTATAAATACCCAGGCTGTACTCTTCTGACGCTCATCGGAAAATGGCAGTTGAGCCAACATCAAATTTTGTCTGTAGTGCCTCAGTGGTCTAGTGGTCAGCGTTCCTGCCTATAGTTCAAGAAGTCCGGGTTCGATTCCCGGAACTACCAGATTTTTTTCTGAGAAGTAGTGGGTCTGGAACGGGGCTCATTCTGCCTCGTGATCATAATTGAGGAGCTATTTCAAGGAAATAGCCGCTGTTTCCCTGAAATACATTCTCAGGCCTAGAAAACAGAAATTAACAGCCGTGGGGATTCGTTGCGCTGACCACGCGGCACTCACTATCCGCAAAAGTTGGCACTAAACTTCGCCGACAAGCGGTGGGCGCTCGGTCTGTATAGTTCGCTTGCAGACTAAAATCACGGAGTTTTTTTTTGTTAGGCAAAACAGCCGGAGAAGCGTACGAATTGAAGAAAAGTGTGTACGGTAGTGATTGTTCGAGTTGCCCGAACATTTTTTGATGGTATGCTGTATTTCGTGACGGCAGGGAGGACACTGAAGACGCTCCACGTGCATCCAAGCCGAGAACATGTCGCACTGAAGAAAATGTGAAAAAAGTGCCCAAAATCTTTGCATCAGACAGATGTGTTTCTGCAAGACTCATCGAGTAGCTTTTGGGAATACCAAAAAGTACTTTGCGTCAATTTTTGACCGAGGATTTGGGCAAACAGAAGGTCTGTGCGCGGTTTGTACCGCACGCGCTGTCAGGCGATGAAAAACATGCCAGAGTGGAACACTGCAAAGACATGTTACGGTCGGCCCAAAGTGATATAAAATTTACAAAATCGATCGTTACTGGTGACGAGATATGGTGTTTTCAATACGAGCCTCTCACAAAGCGGCAGAGTGCAGCGTAGTTGAGCCCAAAGAAGCCGAAACCCAAGAAAGTGCGCATGCAAAAGAGTCGAGTAAAGACACTACTAATCGTTCTCTTCGATTTCTGCCAGAAGGTCAGACAGTAAATTCTGATTATTATCTCGGAGTCCTCAGTCGATTGTAGGCGAGAATTCTTCGAATTCGACCTGAATATCGAGAGTTCCTGGTCGTTCATCCACGACAGTGCCCCACCCCATAAATCTAAGATCGTGCGCGATTTTTTTGGCCAGAAAAGAGATCACAGTCCTTGATCATCCTCCGTATTCGCCAGATTTGGTTCCAGCAGATTTCTGGTTGTTCCCAAAAGTTAAGTTGGCGATGAAAGGAGACCGTCATGACACCATCCAGGACATCCAAGGGGAATCTACCGCAATTTTAAATGCAATTTCACAAAAGGAGTGCAGTAACTGTTTTCGAAAACATTTCAATCGATTCCAGCTATGTATTGATTCAGAAGGAGACTATTTTGAGTAAAAAGAGTGAAATTTTGAAAATAATTCACGTCTTGTATTTTAATGAAAACAGTCCTAACAGAACCTGGACACACTGTACAGAATCCGATCCTAGTTTTTCTGATGTTGAAATTCCTATTGCAGAGTTGAAAAGGTATAAATCGCCAAGTAGTTATCAAATTCTGACAGAACTGATTCAAGCAGGAGGTGAAATATAACAGCCTGAGATCTACAAGCTCATTAATTCTAGTTGGAATAAGGAAGACTTGCCTGATCAGTGGAAGGAGTTTATTATAGTACCTATTTACAAGAAGGGCGATAAAACTGACTACAGAAATTATCATGGGATATCACTACTATCAACTTCACAAAAATTTTATCCAAAATCTGTCTCTCAAGGCTGTCTATGTATAGATTAAGTCTAAGAAGAGAACAATGTCCTGCAGTTTTCTTTAATAACATACAAATGCCTGAATCACCAGCAGAAAATACTTAGTTATTCATCTAGACAACCATCTAACCTGGAAGGAACATATTACTAAAAAATGCAGATTGATTTAAAAATCAAGGTTAGTTGGAAGAAATTCCCAGCACTCATTAGACAACAAAATCTTACTTTACAAAACAATAATAAAACCAATTTGGGTATATGGAGTGGAAATATGGGGATGTGCTAGCAAAACCAATATTTCCATAATCCAAAGATATCAGTCAAAGATACTACATATGATTACTAACGCCCCATGGCATGGCATCCAATATAACACTCCATGAAGACCTGAAAGTGCCGCTAGTAAAGGAAGTCATAAAAGGGAAAAGCACAAGATACCTCAACAAAATAGGACATGAGAACGTACTAATTCAGCCATTACTGGAACCACACAATGGACGAAGACTAAACAGGAATTGGCCAGCTGACTTGAGAGAGGATTAACAAGGAGTTATCACTGGATAAGGCCTCTCCACGTCACGGGGAATACTACAGTTAATTAGCTTATAGAATCAAATGTAATTCTGATTGCTAATTTTATGTGAATAAAAAATATATATACATAGATGAAATCACTGGGGATCATCAGTGTGGGTTTTGATGTAACAGATCATCTACTGATCAGATTTTTTTCATTTATCAGATACTGGAGAAAAAATTGGAGTGCAATGAGACAGTACATCAGCTATTCGTAGACTTCAAGAAAGCTTATGATTCAGTTAGGAGGGAAGTATTGTACAATATTCTCATAGGGTTTTGGGTACCCATGAAACTGGTCAGGATGATTAAAACGTATTTAAATGAATCCTATAGTAACGTTCATATAGGCAACCATTTTTCCAATAATTTTCCTCTTCAAAACGGTCTAAAACAAGAAGATGCTTTATCTTCACTGCTTTTTCAACCTCGCTTTAGAATATGCCATTGGGAAGGTCCAGGAAAACCACCAGGAGAGACTGAAGTTAAATGGAACACATCAACTGTTGGTCTATGTTGATGATGTGAATCTACTGGATGATAACATAGATACTATAAAGAAAAACATATAAACTTTATTTGATGCTAGTAAGGAGGTTGTTCTAAAAACTAAGTATATGTTGCTCTCTTGTCACCAGAATTCAGAGAAAAATCATGATATAAATATAGCTAAGAGACACTTTGAAAATGTGGCACAGTTCACATATTTGGGAATGACTATAACAAATCAAAACGTGATTCTGTAAGAAATTGAGAGGAAACTGAATTCAGGTAATGCTTACTACCATTCAGTTCAGAGCCTTTGGTCTCCTTGTCTGCTTTCTAAAAACATAAAAATCAGATCATGCAATACTATAATTTTGCCTGTGGTACTGTATGAGTGTGAAACCTAGTCTCTCTAACCTTAAGGGAGGAACAAAGACTGAGGGTGTTTGAGAACAGGGTGCTGAGAAGAATATTTGGACCAAAGAGAGATAAACTGACAGGAGTTTGGAGAAGAGTGCATAATGACGAGCTTCATAAGTTGTGCCCTTTGCCAAGTATAGTCAGATGATCAAGTCAAGGAGAATGAGAATGGCAGGGCATGTTGCATGAAAGGGGGTGAAGAGGAATGCATATTGATTATTGGTGGGAAAACCAGGAGAGAGACCACTAGGAAGACCAAGATGTAGACAGATGGATGTTAAAATAGATGGGAGCTGGCGTAGCATAGTCAATATAGAGACTGGCTATGGGCTGGATGACAGAGGGGTCAGAGTTCGACTCTCGGTAGGGTCAAGAATTTTCACTTCTCCAAGTCATCCAGACTGGCTTTGGGGTCCACCCAACCTCCTGTCCAATGGTTACCTTAGGCTCTTTCCCCAGTTTAAAGCGACCGCAGTGTGAAGCTGACCACTCACCTCCTGCCAGTGCTGAAGTAAAGAAAATGTTGATCTATACAACCACTTCCCCATGTGCCTTCATGGTGTAGAGCTTAATTTGTTAAATACAGGGACAACTTTACCTTTATTAGAGAGATAGGATGGGGTGGTATGGACTGGATTGATCTGGCTCAGGATAGGGACCAGTGGAGGGCTCTTGTGAACACAGTAATGAACTTTCAGGTTACATAAAGTGCTGGGAAGTTCTTGAATAGCTGCACAACTGGCAGTTTCTCAAGAAGGTCTCAGCCACACGAAGTTAGTTAGTTGTTGAATTCTCTGATATTTCTCATGACCAGTACTGATGCATTATGCATTGCCAGAGTAAAATTAACTCCATAAGAAAATATTTCTGAAGTTACCTTAATGTAACACTTGACTAATTCATTGCTTTTATAAGCCCAATCCATTCACTGCAAAGAACTGATATTTAATATACAGTGAAAGTCACTGAAACACCACGTCTTCTTACCGATATCTTGGTGAAGATGTAGAGGATGAGAGACAGGGCAGCTAGGAAGATTCTGATTCGTGTTCCACCAAACCGCTTCATCATGTACTCTGGTAGTGTGCACACCTGTAAATTAACAAGACTGAATTCATTATGTTGCATGTGATTGCTTCATGCACACGCGAACACATGCACGTGTGCACATACACACATACAATGTAATGTCCTCTCCATGCCATTCACAAATTTGCAGGAGTGCTGATGAAGACAACACCTGCCATCTTGCTGGTGGCCACAGTCATGTGAATTTGTGTAACATCCTCTTCACACAATTTGCAACAAGTTCACCACATGCTGCTTGGTGGCTTTCCTGTGGCCATGGGAATGCTCATTTGTGAGAGCACATTGCCAGTTTAGTTTAAATAGGCTGTTCAGATGACATACTTCATTTTTTTAAGAGTAATCTCGCAATCTGAATTCACCCTTTCTCTTTTAGTTGTTACTTAAACAAAATTTCTGCTAATAAGATCTAAACATTATATTAGTACACTTTCTTGGTAACATATAACTCTTACTGCTGAAAGAGTCATGAGTAGATGGCTTACGCTATTAAGAGTGGCTGGTCAGGGTTTACGATTTTCTCAAGCATTAAATAAATCAAGAAAGAAAGGGCCAGTGTTTTAAAATGATATATCTCATACACAGTACAGAGAGCTGTTTGAATAGGGACATGGTACCTACACATAACTTTGGGTGTCATGTTTTTTTTATTGCTAGTGGGGTGGGACTAAGTCCCTTGCACTGCGGCCACTTCTGGCCTATTGCATCAGCCCCAGATGATAGGTGAGGGTGATTGTGGAGCAATTGGTAGAATGAAGATTGGCAGGGGAAACCGAAGAATCCGGAGAAAACCTGCCCCAACGCCACTTTGTCCACCACAAATCCCACTTGACCAGATCCGGGATCGAACCCGGGCCGCCGCGATGGAGAGCCAGCGACTAACCGCTTGAGCTATGGCGCAACCAGTGTCATGGGTTAATAACTGCAATTAATATCTAAAGATATTAAGTTACGTAATTTCAACTTCAGTAACTAAACAATCCAGTCCGGACTCTCTCAGCCTACTCCTTGTTACTACCGACTTCGATCCATGGCCTCTAATGACTTAATGGTCATATCAAATTTTGTGGAAAACTGTCAGCTGGTTCTAAAGTTGAAGGAGGGCAACGCACACAAATACATCATAATGGTGTACTCGTAAGTCTATAATTTTCCATAACGAAGTACACAATAAGAAAACTGTCATATCTGTTCGATGATTACAAACTGACTGAAGATCCCAATAAAAAGAAAATAGAAGGGTATAAACTGAGCCTACCAGACCAACCCACACTTATAGCGATCATCTGGTTTACATTTTAGGTATAGTTTTGTTAATTAAATGCTGATTTCTTTATTCAAAGGCAACCCCAGAGCTGCAGCCACTGTCACAAACTGTTACAGTTTCAAACGCGGCAGATGTAGAGGTTTGTAATAGGGCGTTTACTGGCCGTGAGTACAAACAATGTCAGGGAAGGGAGCAGGGAAGATCAACGAAGACAGCAAACGCTATCTCGTCTCCCCGGTACAATTGGATGGAATATTTTGACCATATGCGGCGTTCAATATCATCATGGACAGTTCCAATTACATGAAGGCACGCGGCTGAGTCTTGTACTTATCAATGGAAATTTCCACTCGGCGCAATATCTTCCTTTCCTGCTAACGTTTGCACATCGGCATATTCGTGATATCTTGAACTCCAGAGTGGTGAAATTTAATAATTTTGATAGGAGTAAGCAACCAATTCTTCCCTTACAGCTATTTAGATGCAAAAGTGAGTGTGCATTACATGTTTCGGTCACATAAAATGTATCAATGGTTATTTTTCGTTAAAAAATGCGCAACTAACTCAACAAAACTGAATTTTTCTTGGGAACACGCCAGTCGCTCAGCTAGTCATGAATTTCCGAATATTTTATGGAACTCGAAGGTTCATTACTGTGTTCACAACAGCACACCACTGGCCCCAATCCAGTCTATAACATTCCAATTTCTCTACGATCCATTTTAATATTATACCCCTACATACGCCTAGACCTTCCTAGTAGTCTCTTTCCTTCTGTTTTTCCCGCCAAAACCCTATAAGCATTTATCTTCTCCCCTTGCGTGGTACATGCCCTGCCCATCTCCCCTGACTTGATCATTCTAATTGTGTTTGGCGACGAGCACAATTTATGAAGATCCTCATTATGAAATTTTCTTCATCCCGTTATTATTTCATCCCTCTTAGATTAAAAGTGTATTTAACGTGAAGTACCACATATAACTTCTGCCTACGACACTTTCGATAAAGTATATATATATATATATATATATTTTTTTTTCCTTGGCACTACAGCCCCAGTGGGCCTAGGCCTACCTCCATGAACTTCTCCGTTCACTTCGGTTTTTCTAGATCTTACACANAGTATATATTCACTGATAAAAATTAAAGTTTATTTACGCACATCGACTGAAACGGCCATGATATTAACTGCCAAAATAAAGTGAACAGGTTTTTGTGATGGCTTTGTTAGCAACTTCCCTCTCCGTTTCGTACAGTTCCGTCAGCATGTCGATGAAAGAGCCGTAGCTCGTAAGAGGAACGACATACCAAGTTAAAAGGCCTCTCAGACTGACCATAAGGTACAGTGAGATTATTTTTCAAGACGCACTGATGGTGAACAGTATCAATAAATTTCAAGGACGAGTGCATTAAGGGTGAACAATATCAATAGCCTTCAAGAACGAAAACCTAAACCCATGGAGATGAGTCTTTCCCTAGACACTGATGCCTTCACTGACTAAAATTATCCTCGTCTTTTATGAAAACCAAAATTTCATCACCGTATTCCCAGCAGCCAGCCACCGTTACACATTTTGTTATTATCTTCCAACCTATGCCTCGGCGTGTTCCAAATGGTCTCTTCCCTTCAGGCTTTCCGACTAAAATTCCGAACGTAAGATCTGAGGTTTTCAGGGCAGTGTAAATTCATATTGCGATCTGTGTTATGATACCGTGTAGTCTCGTACGTGGTTACGAACACTTACTAGGAACATGCTGCCTTTGCCTTTAGGGTAGAAATGAGTTCTAGGCTAGGCTTCCCAAAATATTTTTTAAACGGGTCACGTTAAAAAATTAATAAGAACAAAAAATCAATAACATATACCGACCACCATGTGCAATGCAAAATCTCGCGATCCATAATGTGCATTAAACATTCTCATTCACGCATTTAATAAACGGATATTTACTCTTAATACTGTCATTTATACTACACTTACGTTTTGCCATCACTATATGGATGAAAACAGATAAATTCTCACAGGCTCTCACAACACAACGCAACGGTCGAAAAAGAATACAGAGAATGATACAAACAGAACTGCCGTTATGGAAGCAATTCAAAACAGAGCCAATATAAATGAGAGAAAGAAAAAAAGACACTGCCAACAGAAAAACTAATAATTTGTGAAACCGTGTCTTGTGGATTAGCCACCAGGAGTGTTAACATAGTTATAGAAATGCCAATTGCAGAGAATGCCATCCGTTACCGAGCGTGTATCGATAGAAATTATTATTACAGAAGAACACTTAATAAGCGGTACATCTTCTATAAATCCGGGACAGCGGGATATTATATGAAAAAAAACGGGGTTGTCCCCGGAACAAACGGGAAAAATGGGAACCGTACCTGAAAACATTCTTCAGAAATACTGGTAACGCCCTACCAAACTATACGGTGCCATAATCTAGAAGACCACAATTTAAAGATACTGTCGGTATTTGTCATCGCTGACAATCCTGCTATATGCCCAGCCCATCTCATCCTCTTTGAAGGAATGGGCAGCGAAAGGTATTATGTTCACATATCTGTCCGTATATCTATTTCATTACAAACAGTGTTTCCGGACTGAATCAATCAATCAATCAATCAATTAATCAATCTATCTGTCTGTCTATCTATCTATCCATCCATGGTTCTACAGCCCTTCTGTTGGACCTTGGCCCATGTTCAGATTCTTGATCTTGTGCAGAGTCGGTAGCACTCCTTTTACGGGGGATCAGCCCGTCGCAAGGTCCATACCTACACATAGAACACAAACACAGAACAGGGGCATACAGACATCCATGCCCTGAGTTGGATTCGAACCAACGATCCCAGGATTCGAGCGGGTGAAGACATTTCATGCCTCAGCCAGCGCGGCCACTGTGATCGGTAAAGTGAAAGTATAGCTCCACGCATTCTTAATCTCGTCATTTGGCGGTGTTTCGTACCCCGACCACTTTACTCCAGAGGTAAAAGCTAAAATGCAGAATAAACAATCAGGTTTCTCGTCATCGTTAGCTGCTAGATGCTGGCCCGTTTTCGTGTATTTTTTTTTAAATTGCTAGTGTGGTGGGACTAAGTCCCTTGTACTGCGGCCATTTCTGGCCTATTGTACCAGCCCCAGATGATAGGTGAGGGTGACTGTGGAACAATTGGTGGAATGAAGATTGGCAGGGGAGACCGAAGTACTCGGAGAAAACCTGCCCCAGCGCCACTTTGCCCGCCACAAATCCAACTTGACCAGACCCGGGATCGAGCCCGGGCCGCAGCGGTGAGAAGCCAGCGACTAACCGCTTGAGCTATGGCGCGGCGTTCCTGTATTAGTCATCAGCAATCGCTGATCACTGTGGTCACATGGTCTAAAGCAGGGGTCTCCAAACTTTTCGAACAGCGGGCCACGTTAGGTAATTCAGCACTTTCAATGGGCCGGATAAAATGAGAAATTAATAACTCTAGGTATATGAGTTTTATTGAAAGCACAGAATTTCATAAACTAAATACAAAGTACGTGAAAATAAATTATCGTATATTAATGACAACAGACAGTAGCAGCAAATGCTCATATTTTCATCACAAATTATAATAAAACAATTAATGTGAATGATGGAACTCTTTTTGCATTCTTAAAATCTGATTAAATTGAGGTTCAAATTTTGAAACGCTAATCACAAGTAGCGACTTTAAATGTTCATTGGATAAATTTGCCCTGTATTT